TATACACACCTTGGGACACTCCCCTAGGTCCCGTTGGTGGGTTCAAATCTCCCGCCATGGTCCTATTGGTTCCCAAGTGGAGAGACTAGGAGCCTTGTCCCCATTGTTCCTACAGAGTCAAGCTCGGGAGTATTCGCTGGCCCCTGGTGGCGGCCAGCGGACGTAACAGTCAGGTTGCATGTGGAGGTCATTTCGGGGGGGATCGCAGTTCCCCCGGGTGAGGTACGGGGGGCGGGGCACATGACGAAGCCCCACCCCCTGCTTCCAGCCACCCCGCTTCCGGCCCTCATTCAGCCAGGAGGAGGCAGGAGAAGAGGGAGGGTAAGTTGCTTCCTCCCTGCCTCTCCCCACCCCTGCCTGCCTGGGGCCAGGGAGGGCCTTCGCGGGGCTTCCTCACCCTCCCGCCAGCCTTGCAGGTCCATCGCCGGGCCCCTCATGGGGCTCGGCAGTGGAGCAGCAAGGCTGGCGGTGGCGGCCGGGACCGTTGGGGGCGGGGTGTGTGGCCTTATGACACACTTCCGGTGATGTCAGGGGGTGTGGCCTTATGACACACTTCCGGTGATGTCAGGGGGTGTGGCATATGCTAATGTGTTATGCTAATGAGTTCCTCTAGCTCTTTTTCTACGAAACGACCCCTGGAATTAGGTCTGGTTTGAGTCTCAGTCCTCTGCAAAACCTCTTGTACACCTATAATACTTTAATATCCATAGTAACTAGGCTATACAGTTGAAACTTTGGTTCTGTTCTGCTCCCAGGAAACTGCTATGTGCTCTGCGTAGCCTTCACTGGACATGGCCTTGCCTCATGTGACTCTTGCCTGCTGGGAATGTTTATACTTTGCAGCAGTCAGAAGTCACTTTTTTGTTGTTGTTCAGTCGCACAGTCGAGTCCGACTCTTTGCGACCCCATGGACCATCTCCCGCCAGGCCCTCCTGTCTTCCGCCGTCCTCTGAAGTTGGCTCAATTTCATGTCCGTTGCATCGATGACACTGTCTAACCATCTCATCCTTTGCCGTCCCCGTCTTCACTATCAAGTCACTATCAAGCTCTAAATAGATAAGAGTATCAGAAACTAGCTTCCTTGATTCTGTGAGTCACCCTGGCTTAACCCATCTTTTCTTGACTTTCCTGACCCCAGAGATAGAAAGAAAGGGGCTGACTTTGTTGGTAACGTCAGATGTATGTCAAATGCTCATCACAGACTTGACTGACAGTTACAGTAGCTTCTATAGGTGAAAAAGAGTACTTAATGTCTGATTTTAGTCTTGTTCTTGGTTGTTCTGATCAACTACCCTCAGTTATGGGTCTTGGCAGAATAACCAAGGATACCCTTTATAGAATTTTACCATCTTCGACTGATTAGGCAGTTGGTTCCCTTCCTCGAATGCAACGGCTTAGCAACAATGATCCATGCGATGGTCACCTTGAGATTAGACTACTGTAATGCCCTCTACATGGGGCTGCCCTTGTTGCAAATCCGAAAGCTGCAGCTAGTACAAAATGCTGCGGCCAGGCTGCTGATGGGTCTTCCCATGAGGGAGCACATCCAGCCTGTCCTGAAGGCATTGCGCTGGCTGCCGATAGCATACCGGATTCGCTTCAAGGTGCTGGTTCTTACCTTTAAAGCCCTTTATGGCCAGGGTTCGACATACCTGAGGGACTGCCTTTCCCCATATATACCCCAGAGAGCACTTTGGTCAGGGTCACAAAATCATTCCGCCCTCCCAGGTCCCAAGGACGCCAGGCTGGCTGTAACCAGGGCAAGGGCTTTCTCGGTGGTGGGTGGCTCCACACTGGTGGAATGAGCTCCCAGAAGAGACCAGGACCCTGCGGGAGCTTTTACAGTTCCACAGGGCCTGCAAGATGGAGCTCTTCCACCAGGCCTTCAATTAGGAGCCACCACCACCAGTACCATCACTAGTTGTAGAGCCCGGCACCTGGTCTATTGCTGACGGCCTGTGCCCGCCGTTCAGATACAAGAAGATCAACCAGCTGAATACTCAGGCAATCTATACAATGTATAGCGCCATCTATATAATAAAAACATTATTGCTAGCACTTTATATTGGTATAATGTGGTTTTAATGAATGTTTTATGATATTTGATTGTTGTTATGCATTTATAGCTGTAAGCCGCCCTGAGCCTGAATTCTGAAGTAATAAATAATACGTGCACTATTTATGTATTTGGGTTTTGTTGAAATATTCTATGTTGAATATTGAAATGCTACAAAAACGTTTTCTGACTTAAGAATGTGTAATGGAATAAACTGAGTCTTGATTTAGAACAACTGTCTCTCTCTCTCTCTCTTGACGCAATCGGGGAGCCAGCTTCTCTCCCTCCCAAAATTGAACACAGTGGGAATAAGGGTGCATGAAAAGGTTCCCACACCCCTCATTTCCCTTCACTACGGCCCCTTCCCCATAATTTATTATTTTAATCAGTAGATCTCAAAGATAAGGGTTAGCTTTTTTTTCTGAGAGCATTTGATGCCAGTGTCTTAAAAATTACTCTTCCTTTCTTCAGCCTTGAACAGATAGCCAAAATGAAAAGATGTATTTTTAAAAGTAAAAATGAGTTATGGAAGTTTGATCCCCCCCCCCAAACTAGCTCTCAGCACACAGTTGATTCAATACCCAGAAAAAATTCCTTTGTGAAAACAGTCTATCAACGCATGCTCAAGGAGCATCATATCATATTACAAAGCATGATTCAGAGGATTTGGTAAAGTAATGTGTTTTGACAAAGCTCTGGGTAAGAAGCTTTGAAATTTAAAATTAAAGTCAACTTTGGTAGAATAGGAATGAGATATATGCTTAAACAGGACTGATATCTATGGAGTTTCCCAGTGTTCTATGTCTCTATTCAATAATAGGGAATAAAAACCAACTCCTCTTCTTAATTAGATCTAGAGTTATCAGATTATTTTAAATAAAAGTTTTAATATATTGACTATTCATTGGGAAACACAGGGCTTAACTTTGAACCTCGAACAAATAAATAAACCTCAATATCCTCCTTAGATAGGTGCAGTAAAAATTGAATGTTTTAAGTGAGCATTCAGTTACTAAGCAGCACTGTGATTTAGGGATTAACTCAATCAAAGAGGTTTTAATCTCTATGTAACTGTTCAAAGTTAATATCCCTTCACAGGTAGGTCCCAGTAATCACCACAAGGCAGTTCAGAAATTCATATTCTATGAACTGCTTATTTGATTTTTATCCCATTCATTCTTCAAGATCAGAGTGCCTACCCCGTGATCTCTTGCTTCCATTTTATTACAACAACCCAGTGAGGTAAATTAAGCTGAGAAAAAGCCTGGCTCATAATCAATCAGTAATTTTCATGACAGAGAGGGGATCTGAACCCAGGGGGGGGGGTCTCCTTGGTTGGAATCTGACTCTTCAGTTACTCTCTGCACCCACTTTTTTCCAACAACAGCTGAATGGGTCAGTTACCACGTCTGCTGACCACTCCCTTGAAGCTGAGAGACAGTAACTAGATGTGTGCATTTGGCATAAACTGAGCAAAAAAAACAAAACCCAAAAATACCATATCGGTATTTTCCAGGTATTTTTAAAACCAGTTATTGACTGGGGCTTAATTTGGCTGTCCAAAATAGGCAAGCCCCAAAAATCCTGAAAATATTTTGAATTATTGGGACCACCGGATAGCCAAAGTTAAAGAGCATTTAAAGGGATTTCAGTCCCTTTAAATGCCTTCCGGGTGAACTCACCACTGGAGAAAACATTTTAAGGGAAAACAAGCCCTTTAACTGACTTTGAAGTTCACTTACAGGCTGCACGGCTTGCAGAAGGCATCTAAAGGGACCATGATCCCTTTAAATGCCTTTCCACCTCCATTGAAAACAATGGAGGATGGGGGGCCCTTCTTTGGGGGCCCATAGAATTGGACCCCCTGGTCCAATCTTTTCAAAACTTGGGGGGGGAGCAGAGCCCCCCAGATCCCCAAAAAGCAGGGCCCCCCAGAGCCCCAGATACCCCTGGATCAATTCTCCATTATTCCCTATGGGGTCCATTAACGACAATGGCCCCCACAGGGTATAATGGAGCTGAAAAAAATTGAATTTCCCAAATATTTATCAAATCTGAATACCATACCAATATTGTGATTCAGGAATATCAGGAAATACGAATATTTTTTGGGTTCGATATACCCAACCCCAAAAAATACTAGTGTGTGTGGGGGGGGGGGTTTGCACACCCCTAACAGTAACCCGTTCGTCTGCTTTTCCTGAACACCATCCTTGGAATCTAACCAAGCTACTGTATTATTAGACATCTTCACACAGCTTTGATGAAATTTTGCAATGCATTTTTTAAAGGGATGAGCAACTCAGTTAAAATATTTTTAATTGTTAACAGCTGTTCTAATTTTAAAAGTTCTAAAACGGCTTCATTTTTCAGGGAGGCAACAGGTTAGCACACAGTACTTCTGTTATTTAGCTCAGTGTTTCAATGTGCTTGACTCAGATATGCATGCTTGATCCTGTAATATATACGACTGCAACCAATGTTCCCTCTAAGCTGTAGAGTCCTGTGAGCAAAAATTCTACTTTGTGAGCTACCGGCATTAAAGTTCTGAGCAGGTGATTTGGCTACTGCATAAATTAGTGTGTTCTGGAGCCCTCCTTCCTGAGCCAAGACAAAAATCTGTGAGCCGGAGGCTAAAAAACTGTGAGCTGGCTCACACTCACTCAGCTTAGGGGGAACACTGACTGAAACTGTTTTTATGAGCAAAGAACACCACAGTATTAAGACTGAGCAGTTTCACACACTGCATTTCCCCCTCACCAATAAAAAGGAGTCCCATTATTTCTGGGTATTTTGCCACATTTTATGACCACATGTTCAGTTCCTTTCCTTTCAAGCTCCTCTATAGTGTGAAGTGGTCATTCGTGCAAATGTATCTCCAGTTCACGTGCTCCCATGCAAAAATATAGCATTAATGTAAACAAATAAACAAATGTAAACCTACCTTGAAACTGTGTAAATTTGATGGTCCCCATCCTCTCTCCATTTCTGAATACAACTTGACCCTGAATAAAGTAAATAAATACCTTATGATAATCTTATAAAGCTGCAATTCACTTGAAGGACAAAGAGATTAACTATCTAACACAGACTTTTCTCATTGATTGACAATATACAAATCAAATCACTCTACTCAACTGAGACAGCTGCAGTTACAGAACCCATTGTGCCATAGAAACAGATTCTCCTGTGCAGGGCAAAGCTGTTGGAGCCAGTATGGGATGGATAATTTAGGGGCAACAGCTGAGAGAAAGGTCCTCTTATGCCGAACAGCTATCCAAAGTGAGTTCACCATTATAAAGAAATATCCCCTCCCTTTTCTAATTGCACAAGTTATACGGCTTGTAAATAATTGTTACACTCTTATAAGGCTGAGAAGCAATTAACTTTAAATGCCACACAGTCACTAGGAAAAGCTCTCCTGAAGTTTCAGAGGGAGTCAGTAATTTTAGTAATTCCTCTGTGGACAAGGAACCACAGCAAGGAGACGTGCAATTTGCACACTATTGAGGGACTGAAGGAGTTGAAAGCCCTCAAACAAGCCATTCCTTTTGCTATCTTGCTCTCTAGACAGGCTAAGCAGCTGACAGTGTAGTCCTAAACACAGTCATACCCTTTTAAGTCCACTGAATTCAATGAGCTTAGAAGGGTATAACTCTGCTTAGGACTGCACTCCTAGTTAAAATAAGCGAGGTCCACCTTCTGCTGTATCGATGCAACGAACATGAAATTAAGCGAACTCCGGAGCACAATGGAAGACAGGAGGGCCTGGCGTGATGTGGTCCATGGGGTCGCAAAGAGTCGGACTCGACTGTGCGACTGAACAACAACCTTCAGCTGGCAGTTAAAAAGAATCCCTGCTGAATAATCCCGATGGACGTAATCCCCCTTCTGCTGGGGGTGGTATAAAGTATTCCCACTTTACAAAGTTTCCATGGATGCCTCAAGGAGTTTCAATCAGGCATACACCGCAAATTCCATGCTCCGAACCCAATTCCCAGGTATATTGGGGGGGGGGGGGGGTGTACTGGGCAAGTGGTGG